GAATTATGTCTCAAGCGTCTGTGGAGTCTGTACCCAATAAATATGATGTGTTTGAAAGTCCTGTCTACTTCTCTCTCCCAAACCCGTTATAGGTTTCATATCAAGAGTTTTTCTCATGTCATTCATGGATTTTTGTTTTGCTTTCTGCCCAGTTGCTTTTGCAATCCGTTTGCCTTACTAAGACACGCATGAGCATTCTGAGAATTCAACTGGTCGATACACTGCAATTAAATAGGAGCTTTCATATTTTAGGACTTGCTGGAAAATGAGCATTCAACCTTGTGCAGGGTGAAAATCAAGCAAATCGAGCTAGTGCAATGTCTTTACGAGTCTGTCCAGCTACTAAACTAACTGACGGACACCATAATCAACAGCTTGAGAGTGCTTGCCACATCCCGGATGCTCGTGCTGACCACAGATGTTTCACTAATGAGGACTGTGGCATCGATTCAACCACCTGCCGAAGAAGATCTTGCAGCATGGCTGGCTATTGTGGCCTATGGTTGATTTAGAACCCAGAATATAACCCAAATTCTTTTTCCAACGATGAAATAAATGCTAAACCCGTGATTCAACAAAGCCTGCTTGCAACTATTGTTAGTCTGGCAGATGTATAATCTATAACCCAGTTAGAAAAAGATATACTGGAAGGGGAAAGAATTGATATATGTTGTAGAAATTCTTGTAATTTAATTCAACTTTGTAATTTTGTATTTACAAATTTTGGTTGATAACATTTAGAATAAATATGCTGTGTAGCTTGGAGTACAAAACTTACAAGAATCAATTTGAAGTGAGGAAAAAAAAAAGTCATAAAAGAACAATTTGTCTGGCATTAGTGTGAATTTTTTTTTTTTTTGGGTGTATCAAGGGAGTACCTTCAAAGAAGCTTATGGTTCCTTGAGATGTTGGCTCCAATCGCATAAGCTTATGATTGAAGCCTTTTTTATAGATTGACAGTGAGTGAGCTCAACCCATAATTCAGTTTGGAATAGAATGTCACCCCTATTTTGAGTAAGGATTGAAGCATTGACACGCACAAAAGCAGAAGGAATTTAGACGTTGGTTAGAAAGATGTTCTGTGATAGAATCCGTGCGCGGAATAGATGGGGAAGGTTGAAAGTAGATTAGAAAGAACTATTATTGGATGCAACAAGAGAGCGATCCCGCATCAAGCAATACACAACTTCAGAGAAATCCCGCCCTCTCTTTCAATTGAGCTAATTGTCTCGCCTCACTTTGCTAGTTAGAATTGTGTTCTTCCTAAACTCATTGCATGCACTTAGAGCTGTGTTGGTAGAGCTACTTCTTCTTGTTGTGTGCTTGGTGCCCACCAAAACACAACTTCAGAGAAAACATAACAGGCAAAGATGTTCTTGCAGTAACTATAAAATTCAATATCATAACAAAAATTACTATTTTTAATGACGATGTTAAACCTTTAAGAGATAAAGTTATAAATGGTTGAGGGAAATCCATGATTGACATTTAAATGTTACAACTCACCTATTAAAAATTGTAACTTTTATGATCGATCGCAACGTTTTAGTATCGATCATGTGTTTGTAAGACATAATTTACACTTCAAAAATTATAACTTAGTCATAAAATATTATAATTTTCAGTATGATACTAATAGTGGTGCCATAAACTTTCCACCATTTTAGAAATGAATGTGTACATAGACACAATTCAGCGAAATTCTTAGGGATGGTTCAGTGATTGAGTCAGTCTTTTAATAACCCATAGATATCAAATTCAATCCATTTCCACATCCTTTTAAGGGCTAGTCACTTTTGTCCCTTTGAAGACATGCTCAATCTATAATAACGAGCTCGAAGGAATAATTAATGCAAGTTTAAACACCCTATAATAAAAAAAAAAATTACAGCTGCGTGAAGTTAGCACACCATATAAGAAATGGATCAATTTTAAACATTTTATGGGCGAAGTTTTGCAAGCCCTTCCACATATATATGATCTCATCCATACCAACCCTTAGATTAACAATTTATATGAAACAGAATTCACCACATGGTACATAGGTTTTATATTGTTGGACCATGGATTATATATGTATATACATATGATCTCATCCTTACAAAACCCCTTGGAATACCAATTTGTATTATTATGGCATGATGTCTGCATTACGTTAATGTTGTACTATAGTAATTAAAAATAGTTTTTTTTTTTTAACCGAATGATCCATTCTAATGTCGTCAAGTTATGAATTAAACAAACTAAATTATAAGTCAATGATTTAAGGAAAGCATTATTTCGACCAATCTAATTCAAAGTAGACATTGAATTGAAAGTGAGTTACATCTAATATTAAAATTCACAATTAATTCAATGGCTATATTGAATTAAGGCCTTATAGCATTGCTCATGTTTTAATATCGGGTTTTTCTCATTTTACACTTTCAAATATTAAATTTCTCACATTACATTCTCAATGTATTAAAAGTATTACAACGTGGTCCTTCTATTAGTTTTCGTTATTTTTTTCGTTAAAAATGAACCTATTGACACTAACAGAAAAACTAACAGAAAGCTAACAGAAGTGTTACATTACAATATTTTGCATATATTAATGTTTAATGTGAAAAATTTAATCTTTGAAAGTACAAAATAAAAATCTTAAAATTTTTTAGAGCATAAAGTGTAATTCATCATTTAATGTTTACTCTGTTTCACATTTCTTAGTCATACCCGTGAAGGTTCGATTCCTCTACTCTTTTTTGAGTAATACTATTTGAACTTAAAAATTTGATCTAATTTGCTGACATAATGATGTAATTTCAGTAAAACTATTAGATCAATACCAAATTCCAATATTTGATAAGCCCTACAGTTAATCCAAAGGTCATAATGAATTAGATTAGTAAATTAGGTCTCAATAGCATTGCTCCTCTTTTTTCCCCTCTCTTGTTACTTTTGATTCAAATTCTCTCTCTCTCTCTCTCTCTCTCTCTCTCTCTCTCTCTCAAACAGAGCATTATCCTATTTTCACGAGTCAAAAACCCTCATTCATGCGCAAATCCTTCTACGTTAGGAAGACAAGATTATAAGGGAATCACTAGTTCCATGCCTGATATCTACTTAAGGAACTCAAATCTGCGTATACGAAATCGAAATTGAAGAACAAATGAGCAGGGGATAAATTTTCCCGCCTTAAAGACCTTTTCTTCATGTCAACCAATTCCATTTTTTTAAAAGAGAATGGAATGAATATCTCTTGAGATTTTCATAATGAATTACCGCAAAACTGGAGTATATCTTTAGGCTAGGCAATCCAAGCCGTCGCCTGGGCCCATATTTGGGGGCCTCATTTTTTAGATTCAAGTTTAATTAAGTCTATATTTATTTTCAATGTCTCAAATTAATTTTTTAGATCAATGTTCAATTAAATCAAAATTTATTTTTTGGGCCCTAATTTTTTTTATAGATGCACGTTCAATGAAATCAAATTTTATTTTTACGAGTTATATACTAATATGAAATTAATTATGATACTATTCATGTCTTGGAACCTACCATGTATAAAAAAAAATTATGTAATTGTTTATTTCGTATATTGTTCCAACTTTTTTGATCAACTAAAAAAGTATGTATTTTGATTTTTCTTTTTAGAATTTAATGGTCCTTTGATAAGTTAAATATATTATTATAATAATTATAATTAATGAGATTTTATCCAAAAATTTTACCTAAGGCCTCCGTTTGGCTTAGGTCGGCCCTGCCTATATACCTACGACCCATTGAACACACTTTCTTGCTAAAGAGAACACACACACAAATTTAAAGAGGGGTTTGAATTTTTTTTTCTTTTGGTTTGTTATGATGTTGTGAAGGCACACAGAAATAGAGTAGAGGGAGTGTGAGGTGTGGTTGTTGGATTGGAGAGGGTTGGACAAGGGGTCTTGGTGGACTTGGGTTTAGTCTTGCAATGTGTTTAGGATAATATCATCCATAGAACGAATTAATATTTAAACTTAATAGTGTTATTTTTTCTCTTTTTAATGCAATACTAATTTTATGTAATTTAATTGATATTTAATATCATGAATTAGTGGTAAAAAATAAATATAACGAGTCTCAATAAACACAGGATTGACATAATGTTGCGCAACTCAAAAAGTGTTGCTAATAACTTCAAATTGCCACTAAAAGTTCTACCCAATAACAGTGATCCATTAATATCCAAATAACTTCTCTTCAAAAAAAAAAACAGCAAATAACATAAATGGGTGGATGGAAGGTGAGGGTATTCGAGGCAATTGCCCCCGCTGCAATTTAAAAATATTTTGGGCTCTATTTAAAATTGTAAAAATTTGAAAAAAGCCTCCCCACCGAAAAATCTGTAAAAAAAATTTAGGATTATTTTCATATTTTAATAATAAAATGGGATTCTTTTGCACACTAAGAATTTAAGACCACCAATAGATCACATTTTGACCTTCATAATCTGATTCAAAATTTGATTAGTCAAAGTAAATTGATATCTTTTGACTAACTTTGTGATTCTGAATTGGTTGCATAATCTTTAAAGAATTTAGATTTAGATTTACCAAAATTTAATATGATTGTATTTTGATCCGATCTATATGCACATATTTATAACAAAGTATAATATAATTTAAATCTTAAAAGATAAATAAAATAACTTTTACTATTCGTAATTGAGATCTATTTAAATTTTACCTAAAAGTTAATCTGACGGCTAATATTAACGCTTCAAACTTAATATGAAAAATAGGGCTTTAAGGGTGTTTGATATGACTTTTTAAAATTTTTTCTAAAATTTACAATTTTTCTAAAATACTTTTAACAAAAAAAATAGTGCTTGAAACTGCACCACCCCCACCCACCATTATCACCACCACTACTATCGTCGCCACCATCACACCATCACCATTATTGTCGCCACTATTACACTAGCACCTATGCCACAACAACTACTATCACTGTCGCCACCCCATCACCACCACCACCATAGCTGTCACCACCTTACTACCACCACCACAATTGTCACCACCCTACCACCACCACCATATTTACTGCCCCACCACCACCGTTGCCACTCCGCCACTACCTCTTCCACAACAACCATCACCACCATCCCATAACAACCACCGTCGTCGCCACTACAACTGTCACCACCCCACCACCACCATCCCAACTACAACAACCACCACCATCACAACCATTGTTGTCACCTTACAACCTCTGTCACTGTCTCACTATCACCTCTACCCCCACCACTATTGCCATTGTCGCCACCACCACCTTCATCGCCCCACCACCACCATCATCACCGCTATTGCCACCTTACCACCATCACCTCCACTGCCCCACCACCAATGTTGTCACCTCACCACCATCTCTTTCATAACAACTACCACCACAACTCCATTATCACCATTATTGTCGTCATCCCATCACCACCCCACCACCACCATTTCCACTACTGTCACTCCCACCACTACCTTACCACTATTGCCACTATCTCACCATCACCCATACCATCACGACTACCATCACCATTATCATTACCACCCACGTCTACCACCATCACAACTAATCGGCGTCATCCATTACAACTATCATTGTCTTCCACCACCATCACTCGCTTCTATTATAATAGGTACTTAAATTTCTTTTTCCTTCCTCTATCTTTGTAATTTGATTTTAGGTGTGAATACAAATATACTTATTGTTGACCATTTTTTTTATTACTCTGTGTTTTCAAGCACGGTAAATAACTAGTGTATTG